ATGCAGCCGACACGCACATGACCACATTTCCGCTGTATCAGTCTGGCCGTGCCACGAAGGATTTGGACCATACCGAGGCAACTTTGTGGGCGCAAAAATTTCTCGCGGAAGACGTGGTGAAGTTACAGTACCTGAAACAGCACCATTACCATCCAGTGAATCAGACGACAGGCGAAAGAGTGCCCCTGGGCGGCCGTCAAAAGAAGGATCGACCTGGCATCTGCAAGTCACATTACCCTCGGGATGCATGGCTGCGGGATGATGCGACCGTGTTGTGCCCGTGCCAGTTAAGCAGGCACGGGTTTGAGAAGCAAGGTCGCAAGAATAGACTGGGGGCTCTACATGGTCCATATGGGCACCCATATATCAACAGCTGTCATCCAGCTTTGCTAGCCGCGGTACGTGGCGGCAACTGTGATGTGCAAGTCCCGTATCGTCTGCCGTACGCATGTCAGTCATGTCAAGGGACTTTGTCAGCAGATGCACGGAGGGATATAGTGGCTGCGGTACAAAGGGCGCAAGACGCACAGACCGGGTAACGCAGCGATTATTGTTCCAAGAACCAACCCATGGGATTCCACGAAATCAAAGAGTTTCAAAAAGGGCACCTGTCACTGCAAGCCAATTTGAAAAGCAGAGACATTAAGGAAATAGGCAAACGACATGCGAGCCGGTTCCTGAGTGATGCTTATTGCAAAGGGATTGTGCGTGGACAAGTGGAATGTTGCAATCTGCGGGCAAATCATGTTGAAGGACAAATTGTTGCGGCAGAACGGGTGTCGACGACATCCTTCAAAAATTTTCCCGGCCAAGCTTACTTGGGCATGTACGACAGCATGCGTGGCGAGAGGCCATGGGGCCAGAGAACAAGGTATGTGAAAACACGACCAGCACCAGACACGGGGGAACGGCATCTGCGAGAGGACGTGACGGTGCAAGCGTACGGTCACCGGCCGACAGCATCTGAAGTATGGTGGCTGTCTCCGTATGAATTCACGATGTACTGGGATGTTGTGGCGACACGTGTGCCATATAATCAGGAGGAATGGGAGAATAACAGAGAGAGCTCCTGGGATGTGACCGTCACCGACACGGGCCGACGGAAATTGGCGACGGGCGGGACGGCTGCTGCCAGATTGCGTCCGCAAGTAGACTATCAGATTCGCCTGCTGGAAGGAATGGACCGGGTGTGCTTTCCAGCGGGCGGAGGAACAGCAGCACTTCGCCACAACTGGTACCTACAGCGGAAACGCCAACCGGCGTGCCCGCATTTCGCGCATGCTCCGACACCGAGTCGCCAAAGGGACGACACGGAACGAAACGCTCAGATTGTCAGTGTGTACTTTCGGGCCTGGACGTTGGACGCCATGGCAGCCACGAACCAGGTGCCGCTGCTATCAAACCTAAAGCCAGAGGGGGGAACTTGGGAAGACGGGCTACGTGAGTGG